TTTGATTCAGAGGTACCGAAAATGCGTTCAACTGGATTAGTAGTGTAGACACTCGTGTAGTGGAATGCATTGAACAGGCACAAAAGACGTCCTCCTCTTTGCCTACAGACCTAATTCTTAAACTTTTTCTTGTATGCTTCAACAACACGTCCCGTACACACAACATTTCACAATATTTGATCAAAAGATCAAAAAATGCCCATACATACACCTGCCCATAGATCCAAAGAAATCAGAAAAGTTATCAAAAGTGGAAAAAAGAGACTGAAAAGGTTTGCATCTGCCTTGTGTACTTGTGATCCAATTGACCAAAACATGTCTTAATACCAGGTTTAAACAGGGCCTCGGTCATAACAGTCTGCAGGGACTTTTTTTCTTTACATGTTTCTCCATTTTGGTTGGAGCACATGACTAGAAGCGTTTGTGCCCATGTGTGTGAAAAGCCACTGAAAAGAACTCTCATCCAATAACCATAAGGATTTATTTTGCAACATTTGTTGTGATGCATGCATGTCTCAAGAGAAACCTGGAAGATATCAGCATAAGTTCTTGACTCGCATACTCGCATTCTCTCTTGCTTTGTGTATTGCACCTTCTCACTGTGGGTCAAATGGGATAGTATTTGGGGTTGCCAAGACTTGACCAAATCCCTCCTAACAGGATTGGAGGAAGGGTTAACAAGATTAGAAAGGACTGAGCTGCCACTATGCCTCAACACCAGACCAACACACACATTTGTGTCTTCATATTTGGCCGAATCATAAATCAGACCCATAAATACGTAAAGCATGTTATGGCTTACATGCCATTCATTCTGCAGTGCTTAATGTAGTTTTGTACATTCATGTTGATTCCCTGTGTAGTCTGTCGAGGAAACTTGTGAGCCTTTGATTGCAGTGAGGAAAAAAAAGAGGAAGAAGAAAAAGACGCAGGCTAAACAAAACACAAATATTTACAAGACCTCATTTGAGACTGTCATTGTGCAACTCTAAAAAAGCAAACAGGAGAGGTGTTAAATACAGACAGAATTTCTAGAGGGAAATACAACACCACGCATCATGAGAACGAAGGGACGGAGGAGGATTTATCACTTGTTTGCTTCGACAGTATTTGTGAAGTGTGGAGTGTGTTGTCAAAATTTCTGGCCACCAATGACTCCGGCTCAGAAAATAGCTCTCCAGCAAAGAAAAAGAGAGCTGGAGAGGGGAGGATAAATGGGGGTCTGCCAAAAGCTAAAAATACCTCAGGCGGCTGCAGCCATCTTTACAGCAGAGAGAATTTCACGCACAAGGGCTGATGAGGAGAGAAGTTGTGAAAACTTTTGGAAAATCAAATGAAAGTCAGGAAAGGAAAACAGTAGGGGACGTCTCCTCCTGCCTCTTTTACAGCCCATTGAAGGCTGAGAGAAAAGAAAACAGAAGATATAGTTAATTGTAGCTGCATGGCAACTTGCTTTCTTTGGTGGACTGATAGAAACAACATGGACACCTTTGTCTAATACCTTAAAGGTGCATTAAATGTTTGTTTTTTTTCTTTTCTTTTTTTTGGGATACATTGTATATTGGTACCATATTGGTCAATATTAGAATGTGGCATTAGATTTATTTCCTCTGTTTTTAGGATTAGACTACCTTTGCCGTCCTGTAATGCTCACTTAAAGATAATCTTTAAAAACACTACATTTAACTTTATTAAATTATTAATTTTAGCAGATATGTTTTCGTACTGTACATTATAATGTTGTGATGCCTAAATTCACTTAGCTTTTCAAAAAAAATGTCTAGCTTTCAGCGTTTTATTTTTGTTTAATTAGACAAAATAATGTAGAATTTTCGGCATGAAATTAAAATTGATCCTGTCTATTTTCTAAATACATGGTCATGTTGTTGCTCTTATTGTGAACGATTTTAATGTTTCATTCAAATAAATTTGACCTCGTAATTTTTTTCTTCCAATAAAATTTGGTTCTGGTGACATATGCTTAAACCCTGCCCCTTTCTGCCTCCATCCAATCAACAACCATTGGATTGAACTAAGTCCCTGCCCTATTTTTTTTTCTTAATTTTTATAATCCATTACACTTTGATGTACGTCACTGTATGGCAAAAAAAAAAGAAGATATGTCGCTACTTCCTTTTCATTACCATTCTAATAACTACCTTTTATCAGTTGTTTGCCAGAATTGAATTTTTCAGAATAATATTCAGTTCCTCAATATTCAGTCACTTATTCGTAACAGTTATTTTTGACTGCTTTATACTGATAGCTACTGGTGGAGATGAAGCATTACACACTTAAAAAAATAAATAAAGGTTCTTTATTGGCATCGCTGGTTCCATGAAGAATCTTTAACATCCATGGAACCTTCTTTTATTTTACAAAACGTTCTTTATATTGGGAAAAGTTTCTTCAGTTTATTAAAATTTTCTTCACACTAAGAAAAAATATATACTTTATGAAGTGTTTTCTGAAAGGTTCCTGAAGGAACCCAAAATTGTTCTTGCAGCCATCCCGCGAGAACGACTGGCCTCAAAACCCCATAAAATGCTCTGTACTCCCAGTTTTTTTTTTTCAATAAAGGCAAACTCACAAGGACAGGGACATAGTCCGCCACATTGTACTGCCATTTTGGGTGTAAAGCACTACTTCCCTGTCACCCTCACGCTTGCTTCCTCTTGCTGTTTTAACTTGCGTTTCCTCATTAAAGCAAGCAACTTTTCCTCACTTGCATACAGGCGCTCATTTCCATATAGACACTCAGGGGTTTGTTGTTGGATTTGCCAGAGGCTGTGGAAGTTTCTGAGACTGTGGAGCAGTTGTCCGTCTGTGTGTATGGAAGATTGGATTTTAAAACACTCGACATGCATCTGAATATGACCGTGTACTCTGAAGTTGTCATTAAACAACACAAACGCCTTTTGTCTTAATGCTGTGTGATTTTCTTTCCCTTCCTCAACACACACATACACACATGTATGTTTGTGTGTCTGCTGTGATGGCATTAGAGCTGTTTGGTATGCAGTGGGACAGGGCCTCTCTATTTAGGACAGCTGGCCCAAATGTAATTGGAAAATAATTATGGCTTAGGCCTTTTAGCGAATTAAAAATAACCTCTGAATTGAGAAGGTCATTTGGGGAAGGAGAGGAGCGTTTAAACACAACACCCCACTCTCCGTTCCACTTTAAAGGAATGTTCCAGGTTCAATACTGGATCATGCTGTTGATTACCACAGAAAATCATTGACTGTCACTCAGTTTGTAAAAACACAGAGAAGTCACATTTATCGGAATGCCCATTTGTGCCATTTCTGGTCAAACTGTCTTTTTGTCAAGTAGTGATGAAAAGTGTGTGTGTGTGTGTGTGTGATTTTACGTATTTAGCTTGAATTTAGTTTTTTTTGTGAGAAATACTGTATGAGTACATATGATCAAACTTGTCAAGGATACTTATATTATACTATTACTACACTACTATACTATATACTATACTGAAAAAAAACGTACAGAAAAACATTGCACATTAAATACGGATAGTTGTATTGTTTTCAAGTTTTTACTTTTATATATTTTAGAAATTGATATTTAGAAACACCTAAAAATCACATCAGCTTCTACAAAATTAACAACAGTCCTAGCTTTTTTGTGAATAAATTTACATTTTCTTCAAAAAATTATCTTGGGACATAAATGCCAAATGGTCTCATGGACATTTTTGCAAAAAAACACATCTTCCAATTGAAAGATTTAAAACGTTGAACCACAAGTGACTTGACTGGGTAAACTCTATGGAAATTATTATATGAAATTTATTTGTAATTCAGTACTTGTGAGGCATTATCCAAATTTTACTCCAGTCAAACCGTAAAATGTCATTTATGCCACTGAATGCTGTTAAACTCAATACATCAGTTGAGATATGGTGGGAATTTTCATGACTTTCTGAAAAAAGACTGTTCTTCTCTGATGTGCAGTGTGTATAACCACTTTGTAAGTGGACAAACTAATTTAATGGGAGTGAAAAGTGTGTTCCTTTTCTAAAAGTTCACGAACCAAAATTGTCCATACAGTAATTGATGAAGCATTCTTATACAGTGGTTGGTTTATTCATTTGTTTATTTGAGTTACTCTCAGGTTATTCCAGTTTCTGTTTGCACTTGTGGTGACCAAAATCAAGCTACTCCCATATCGCATGATGATGGTCTTCTGTTCCCTGCGTCTCTTTAACCTGCTCCAATTCATTATCGCCACTCACCGGCTCCGTGCCCAGACATCTGAAATGTGATTGGTTTGATCAGGTCACATGCTCACTGATATTCTCCAGTCTTCATTCTGATTGGCAGCTTTAGGTGACAGGTTGAGTCTTTGCCCCCTTTCAGGATGGATTGTTAGTGGAAGCTAATATTTGTCTGTTTGTCAGAGGATTATGACCGTGTGGGGTTGTTTAGAGCAGTGGTTACCAACCCTGGTCCTGCAGGCACCCCAACACTGCATGTTTTGCATGTCTCCTTAATCAAACACACCAGATTCAGATCATCAGCTCATTAGTGGAGACTCCAAGACCTGAAATTGGTGTGTCAGAGAAAGGAGATATGTAAAATGTGCAGTGTTGGGGTGCCTCCAGGACCAGGGTTGGGAACCACTGGTTTAGGGCAGTGATGGGCAAACTTGGCCCTTCCAGGCCGGACTGATTATGACCTCATGACCATGTGCAATGTGCGTGTTAATTTCCAAACTCAAGTCACCAGATGTAGAGGATTTCCTGTGTGTGTGTGTCCGTGAGGGGTTGGGTATTTACTCTAATGTGTATCAGTACACAGGCCCTGTCAGGCCTGGAAGGGCCAAGTTTGCCCACCCCTGGTTTAGAGGGACTGATTATGACCTCATGACCATGTGCAATGTGCATGTTAATTTCCAAACTCAAGTCACCAGATGTAGAGGATTTCCTGTGTGTGTGTGTGTGTGTCCGTGAGGGGTTGGGTATTTACTCTAATGTGTATCAGTACACAGGCCCTGTCCCGGCAGACCGCGAGTCTCCGATGACGCGGAGCGAGACGTCCCCCAGCCATGCCCAGCATCCCTCGCCCACACAGAAACCCAACACCTGCTGCTTCTGCTGGTGCTGCTGCTGTAGCTGCTCATGGTACGACCCACTCACCTGTCTCAGTCTCCACATGGTACATTCCACTCATCACCACTGCTAGTGTTACATTCCACCAATCTTTCACTGTGATTATATTCACCTCTATATGATGTATTTTGTAGGCCAACCAGAAAGTTAGCGTCACTTTAATTCTCTCTGCAAAAGCTCCATAGGTTTTTTTCTGTTCGCTTTTGGATTATTGCAGAAAACAAGCTTTGTGATCAGCTAAAATTTGTGATTCTTAAACATTTTGTTCATCATGATAATCTTCCCAAATTAATTTTGTAGCCTGAATACAATCATCAGAAGTAAAAAGCTAAACATAGGCTATAAACAAACTACACCATGGTCGTGTAACTTCAATGTCACCATCACTTAGCTTCCGTCAACTCTTCTGTTTTTATTTAAAAAGTATTTTCCGTGAAATTGAGTTGGAATAGGTTGAAAGGGTGTGATTATTAATGAAATGAGGCTGTAAATGTGAGTAAAAGTATAAAAAGTGAATACTGTTAAAGTGAGTAGTGAGTAGATGAGTTTATCTCTTCTCCTGATGACATTTAATGTTCCCTACAACCTCTGTAGTCTCATTTAGCCACTTGTTTGTAACCACCTTTTTCAAGACTGACGTTTTTTACGTCCCAAATACAACGTGAAAATCACCACAGACCTTATTTCAGGCTTTTACCCACAAACCCATTTAAAAAACCCATTGACTTTAGGATGGAACTGGAAGTGCTAAAACTTCCGGGTTTTTGCCTACACAAAAATGTCATCCTTGCAGCCTTCTTTTGGAATGTTATATAGATTGCCTCAGCATTTGGTGCATTCCAGCTTTGTACGAATTGTATTGATTCATAAATTCAAATTTTTTTTTCCGTTTTAAAAAGGGTAATGTAATGATGAATTAAATGTGCAATTCGCTATTACTTATTTCACATGCAAAGCGATTTAAATAGAGGTCTTAAAGGCACAGAAACCAATAAAAACAGTATGTTCATTTTTAAAGAAAATGGAAATGAAAAACTGAATCAAGAGTTTTATACATATATATATATATATATGTATATGTGTGTGTGTAAAGTAGTGATTTCTATTTAAAGTCAACAATAACTAAAAATAGACCCTGTTTACTTAAAACATGTTCCTTATTTTATTGTGCACAATTCGTCATTGCACGTTATCCTAAATAAATAAAATGTTTGTTTTCATAGTTTTTCATCAAACTGTAATACCTTTTCCTTACTGCTGGTTGGGGAAAAATATAATTAACCAATAATACCATAGCCTACTTTTACGATACAATCAAATCCCTGAGGATAAATTCAATCCTGTGTTATTTCACTTGCAAATATGCCACATTAAGTTGAATAAGTTATGAAGCTCTCCCTCCTACTGTCATATAAAAATAACTGAGTGTTGTGTTGAGGGATCTTGATATGTGTGTGAATGAAATGACATGTTTTTCAGTGTGAAATATGGTATGTGTTTATGAGTACAGGTGAATACATGCTTCTGTGAACATACACACGTTAATTGCTGTGTAAGTGTGTGTACTTCTGGATGAGTGAAATTCAAGTGTACTATGAGTCAGGAGAGTAAATGTGGTTAAGATTGCTCTCGTTTCACCAGAAGCCCTGGAGGAAATAGGAGCCATATTCACACCCACACATCTTTCACACACTTATCCACTCACACTCATTCTTCAAACACACCTGCTGCACATAGCTATTTACAGTGACCACTGAGATCCAAACTCTGATGTCCTCTTATTGACAGAGCTTCATTAATGTAGCTCATTCTGTAGATATTTCAGAAACTAGTTATTTTTAGTGATTCAAACGATTCCCGAATTAAGGGCTTATATGAACCAGTTCTTTTTAGTGATTCAAAATCGTTTAGTGTGACTAGTGTAGTCCAACAATATTTGGAATGTGTGACTCTTATGAGCCGGTTCTTTTTAGTGATTCAAAACTATATAGCATGACCAGTATAGTTCAACCAATTACCAGCTGAATGACTCTTATGATCCAATTGTTTTTAGTGATTTTAAACCAAGTATGATCCAACAGATTCGTGAACAAATTATGAACATGTTCTTTTTAGTGATTCAGAGCCATGCAGTGCAACTAGTGTAGTCCATACAGTTACCAAATGAGTGACTTTTATAAACTGGTTATTTCTAGTGAATGAAAACCATACAGCATGACCAGCATTGTCCAACTGATTCCCAAACAATTGACTCTTATGAACCAGTTGTTTTAAGTCAAGTCTAGTCACCTTTATTTATATAGCACTTTATACAATACAGATTGTGTCAAAGTAGCTTTACAGTGTTAAACAGGAAAAATGTGTGCTGATAATGCAAGAGGACAATAGAAAACCGTCAGTTTATCAGTTAAAGTCAATTCATTGTTTATTCATTGATGTCATCGTCCACCTAAGTTCAATTATCTTCCAATAGTGACTGTGCAGTCAACAATGTTGCCAGAAATTGTTCCCCAACTAAGCAAGCCAAAAGCAACAGTGGCAAGGAACCAAAACTTCATCAGTGACAGAAATGGAGAAAAACACTTTGAGAGAAACCAGGCTCAGTCGGGGGGCCAATTCTCCTCTGGCCAAACGAAACTAGCATGGTGTGGTTTAATTCCAGGCTGCAACACACATCAGATTGAGCAGAGGACTCGTCTGGTTCTCATGGTCTTGTGCCGATGGCCGACAAGGTCTTCACAGGGGATCTGTCTCTGGGACTCATCTAGTTGACATGGTCTCCGCTGACATTCAAGGCTGTAGAGGTCGTCTCTAGGTGCTGATCCACCATCTGGACTGGATACGGGCTGGATCCTGGTGACTGCAGTGACCATCTGATCTGGATACGGACTAGATCTGGGTGGCTACGGTGACCTTGAAATAAGAATAAAACAGACAAATATTAGGTTCTAGATATTATCAAATTGCCAGAGTTTTGAGATTACAGCGGACATGAACAACTATAATGCAATAAGAGCTCGCTCAAGTACTGATGAGATAAACCATTCAGGGCTTTATAAGTAATTAGGAAGATTTTAAAATGTATACTATATTTAATAGGGAGCCAGTGCAGTGTTGACAGAGCAGGGCTAATATAGTCATACTTCCTGGTTCTAGTAAGAACTCTAGCTGCTGCATTTTGGACCAGCTGCAGTTTGTTTATTAAGTGCGCAGAGCAACCACCCAATAAAGCATTACAATAATCTTGTCACAGTACGCTGGAGCAAGGGAACGAGGAGACATGGAGATTTCACAAAAACAAGCGTCTTTAATAATCCAACAGGAGACACAGAACACAAGGAAGACATTCAAGACCTGACAAAAACAAATGGAACAGACTGGGACTTTTAAACACAGGGCAATCAGGGGAACACAGGTGCATGGAATCAGTCAATTAACTGGGACACGGAACACATGGGGAGGGAAAACACAACAAAACCAATCCATAATCCTGACAAATCTAACCTTGAGGTCATGAACGCATGAATTAACATTTCTGCATTTGATATTGAGATTGCAGGTTATAATTTAGATATATTTTTAGGATGGAAAAATTTGGTTTTACAAATGCTAGAAACATGCCTTTCAAAGGAAAGGTTGCTATTAAATAGCACACCTAGGGTCCTAAATGATGACAGAGAATTGACAGCACAGCCATCAAGTGTTAGACAGTTTTCTAGATTATTACATGCAGAGGATTTTGGTCCGATAATTAACACCTCTGTTTTTTTTTCTCAGAATTTAACAGTAGGAAATTACTAGTCATCCAGTTTTTTATATCAGCTATGCATTGTCAATTTTGTGAATTGGTATGTTTCGTAGAGCAGTGAAGAAGTATAGAGCCGAGTATCTTCACCATAACAGTGAAAGCTAACACCATGTTTCCTGATGGTATCTCCCAAGGGTAGCATGTATAGCATGAAAAGCAATGGTCCTAGTACTGAGCCTTGTGGCACTCCATACTGCACTTGTGAACGATATACTTTTTCATTCACTGCTACAAATTGATGACAGTCAGATAAATATGATTTGAACCATGCCAATGCAATTCCACCAATGCCAATGTAATTTTCTAGTGTATTCAAAATGTTGTGGTCGATAATGTCAAATGCAGTGCTAAGATCCAGTAGCACTAATAAAGAAATGCAACCATGATCGAATGATAAGAATAGTCATTTTTAACTCTGATGAGAGCAGACTCTCTACTATGATACAGTCTAAATCCTGACTGGAAATCTTCACTGATACCATTCTCTAAGAAAGAACATAGTTGTGAGGAGATTACCATTTCTAGTATCTTTGACAGAAAAAGGAGATTTGAGATCGGTCTGTAATTAACTAATTCTCCAGGATTAAGTTTTGTTTATTTATTTTTTAATGAGAGGCTTAATAACAGCCAGTTTGAAGGTTTTTGGGACATATCCTAATGACGATGAATTAATAATATTCAGAATAGAAACTATGACTTCTGGAAGCACCTCTTTTAGGATCTTAAATGGTATAGGATCTAACATACATGTTGTTGGTTTAGATGATTTAACAAGTTTACATAATTCTTCCTGTCCTATAGCAGAGAATGAGTGGAATTGTTCCTCAGGGAATCTATAGTGCACTGTCTGATACAATACTAGCTGACAGCTGCATGGTTATAATTTTATCTCTAATAGTATCGATCTTGGAAGAAAAGAAGTTCATAAAGTCATTACTGCTGTGCTGTTGGGAAATGTCTGCGCCTGCTGATGCTTTATTTTTTGTTAATTTAGCCACTGTATTGAATAAATACATGGGGTTGTTTTGTTTTCTTCTAAAAGAGATTAAAAGTAAGCAGATCTAGCCGTTTTTAGAGCTTTTCTGTAAGTAGAAGTACTTTCCCTCCATGTAATACAAAATACTTCTAGTTTTGTTTTCTTCTCTTGGAAGAAAAGAAGTTCATAAAGTCATTACTGCTGTGCTGTTGGGAAATGTCTGCGCCTGCTGATGCTTTATTTTTTGTTAATTTAGCCACTGTATTGAATAAATACATGGGGTTGTTTTGTTTTCTTCTAAAAGAGATTAGAAGTAAGCAGATCTAGCCGTTTTTAGAGCTTTTCTGTAAGTAGAAGTACTTTCCCTCCATGTAATACAAAATACTTCTAGTTTTGTTTTCTTCCAGCTGTGCTCCATTTTCTGGGCTGCTCTCTTTAGGGCACGAGAGTGCTTATTATACCACGGTGTCAGACTGTTTTCCTAGAACTTCTTTAAGCATAAAGGACCGACCTTGTCTATAGTTGAATGCATGGAGAGTCAATAGTTTGTTACACCATCAAGTTTTTCTGAGCTACTGGATATGCTAAGATATTGAGACCAATCTGAAAGATTATTTACAAAGCAGTCTTTTGTTGTAGAAGTGATGGTTCTACCATATTTGTAACAAGGAGTTGAATTTGCAGCTTTAGCTATATGGCGTATACACGAGACTAGATAATGATCCGAGATATCATCACTCTGCTGCAGAATTTCAACACCATTAACATCAATTCCATGTGATAGTATTAAATCTAAAGTATGATTATGACAATGAGTAGGTCCTGACACGTGTTGTCTAACCCCAATAGAGAGAGTTTAGAGTTAGAAAGAGTTTAGAGTGTCTATAAATGCTGATCCTAATGCATCTTTTTCATTATCTACATGGATATTAAAATCACCAACAATTAAGACTTTATCTGCAGCCAGCACTAGCTCAGATAAAAAAATCAGCAAAGTAGTCCATCCAAGTCCCGAACAAATAACTCTTAATAACCAGTTCTTTTTAGTGAATCAAACCATTTTTTATGACTAGTTTAGTCAAACCAATTCACAAAAAAATGTACTCTTATGAACCGGTTCAAAGCCATATGGTGGGACTAGAGAAACTTATGAGTTCATAATTAAATTAGAAACTCAATTAAGTTTCTTGAGTAATGAAAGCTTATTGTATGTGAGAGCGTTGTGTGTGTCTAGATTGTTTTGTTTTGTTCAGGCACTGCTGTTATTTCTCAATGCCATTTTACCACCTTCTAGTCTCACTGTTAGGAGTGAAGATGACAAGCACGAGCGGAGGAAAGCCCAGGAGACCAAGCTGGAGCCCTTTCTATGTGAACCATGGTGAGAACACACACACACATACACCAGATACTGTTTTCATCATGAGAGTTGAGCTGTTTCTCTCAACCAAGTCATCATGGACTATTATGTTTGTTAGGAATGTGAATGTACCTAATGTCTCTCTCTCTCTCTCTCTCTCTCTCTCTCTCTCTCAGCCCCAAACCGACGATAGAGGAGATAAAACAGTGGGCGCAGTCTTTCGATAAGCTGATGAAGAACCCAGCAGGGAGGAACAAGTTCCGTGAGTTCCTGCGGACGGAGTACAGTGAGGAGAACATGCTTTTCTGGCTGGCCTGCGAGGACCTGAAGAAGGAGATCAACAAGAGTGCCATCGAGGAGAAGACTCGTTTGATCTACGAAGACTACATCTCCATCCTCTCATCCAAAGAGGTACATACACAGCCACAAACACACACACACACCCTAATCAACACACACATAATGACAGTGTGAAGTAGCAGAATGGTTCAGTGTAAACTTCTTTGCTGTCTTTATAATCAAGGGTTTATCCTATAATCACATCTGAGTAAACGTTTAAGACTTAGTGTGTGGCAAAGAAACGAGGCTTGAAGGAATTCTGCCAGATGTATGATTGAAGCTTAATGTTTTATAAGGCTCATTTCCTGAGATACAGGCATCTAGCACCATATGTGGCGGTTGATTCGGTTTTCTGTTATGATCTGTTCATGTTTTGTCTCCTGTCGATGCGAGACAGCAGGGTGTGCATGTATTGTACACAGTATCGTTGCATTCTCGGTGCGCACATGTGCTGCTGGTATGCCGTTTAATTCATTGTGTTGACATGCTGAATGTGCCTCTTGGCTTTTTCATCCTCGGAGCCAGAACTCACACCTTCAAACTCCACAACTTTCAAAAGGCAGCTGAGGAAAACATACTTTCTAGAAGTAAATTAAGGAGCAAAGGTTGAGCAAAGGAAGCTATAAATTAATTTATAGCTGCTGGACTCTACTGCAAAGCGGTTATATAAATAGAGTGGGAGTGAGTGAGTTCAGATGGAAGCGTTGTGTTGACCTGAGCTCCTAATTCCAGTGCTTGTACACTTTTGAGTGTCTGGTATGAGAATGAAAGGAATCCTTATATAGAGTCATGAAAGAAAGTAAACTAGAGAGGTCAGTGTAGTAATAGCCGTGGCCCATGGTGCACAGGTTTCATAAAGTTTAAGAGATTAATGGGACTGAAACTTGAAAACATATCTAAGATTTTTTGAGGTACACTGCTGTTCAAAATTGGGATTAGTACGGATTTATTTTTTTTGAAGAGATTATACTCTCCAAGTATAAATGCTCAGCAAGGCTGCATTTAATTGATTGATTGAAAATACATTAAAACAGTAATACTGTGAAATATCATTACACTTTCAAATAACTGTTTTCTATTTTAATCTAAATGTAATGTATTCCTGTGATGGTAACGCTGAATTTTCAGCATCATTACTCCAGTCTTCAGTGTCACATGATCCTTTAGAAATCATTCTAATATACTGATTTGTTGCTCAAAAAACATTTCTTATTATCATCAATGTTGCTGTTAGGTTATATTGCATCATATTTGTGTGGAAACTGTGATACATTTTAGGGTACTTTTATGAATAGAAAGAACAGCATGTATTTGAATATAATGAATGATATTGAATGAAAGGAAAAGTCATTGAAATGTGTTGGTAAAAAAGGGTGATAGAAGGGCTTGATGTCACTGTTCAACATTGTTAATGTTTTCCTGAGCTGCTGAAACTAAACAGCTTGGAAATGTTTCTGCAACTGTACAACGTGCATTAATATTTAATGAAGGCAAGCGTGGTTCAGTTTCTGATTGGTTAACCGTACTCTAGCATATGGAATTCGAAGCAGACCTTTAGTTGTTGTAATAAATGTTACAGCAATAATAGCAGATAACCATACGTTTGAATTTAACTCTTAACTCTTTCATGTCATCGCAATGTTTTTTTCTGTCAGTTTATCACACAACGTACATGTTTTAAAGAGAATATCTCTTAAATTATTTGTCAGCATTAGCGAATAAGAACAGCATTGCACAGGTTTTATAGTATTGTACGGCAAACTTTAAAAAAGAAGCCATGAGCTGCTGTAAAATCCATTTCAAGATTTCACTGGCCCAGCACACTTCATTTATACACATTTAATGCTCAGTGTTACGCCTGAAACTCATTTTCTTTACAGATGCCTTCAGCAGCATCTGAACTTACTCGATATTTAGAACATAGTACGAGCCGGCTGGACTGATGTTAACACTGTGAGCTGCGCTACCACTCGAAACTTATTATATTTTATACATTTCATAATGTGAATCCGAAACCAACCAGTACTGTGCGAGTGAGTCCACAATAATAGAGCATTTTTAGGCTTTATATATCAGTGCTGATCTGAAAAACAGGTGTTAATTTTTTTTCCCTTAACGTTCTCCTTCCTTAAGCAGTTCTTTTAGTTTGAGCAAAGAAACCTTAATATCAGATGTGTTATTTCACATTGAAATGAGGTAAATCATCCACATCCGCTTGGTACTTCCTGGATTTGGTTCTTTGTAAATATTTATATGCAAATATGCATCACATTAAGTTTATTAGTTTGTTAAAACTGATCCAAATGGATGAAAACTTTATATGCAATTCAAATACATACAGTACATCTTAAATTTAGGCCTTACATTTTTTTGAGTGTATATTATGTAAAATTATGCGAAATAAGCAGCACAATTAAATATACATTCTTTAATATTGACTGAGAACCAATATGGTACCAATATATCATGCATCTCAACACATGCTTGCAGTGCAGCCAGTTTCGATAATGATAATAGGAGTGTTTGACTTTGTTGTATCACTAACTAGCAATTGTCCTCATCCTCTTTCAACAGCTGCACAAATCAGACAGACTTTCACAAACTTGTATTTGATTGGAGACGGGGACTGTGACCTAGAGCCGCTTATGTTTACATCAATTTCTTTAAGGTGCCAAAATTAATCTAGCCTTCTAACAGTCTCAAACTAAGGAGCTTTGTGTGGAGAAAGGAGTGAGTCTGTCAATAACCGATGTGTTTCCATCATCTGCGTTACGGCATCACCAAATGCTCACACTGCTCTTTGTTACAATACGTTTTGGTTTCAGTGTGTCAAGCTCTCACTTCACATGCTCCAGCCTCAAGGTTTTGCCATCTCATCCGCCTTCCCTCACTCTTTCTTACGTTCTCACCGGTCGCTCTGTGAGATTTTCTCTTTTTGTCTTGTATTCTCATGAGATTTGCAGTGCCATGACATACAGCAGTGAGATCGGTCCCTGACTCATGGACTTCTATGGACACTTATTTATTGACATTAGCATTATATTTTGTATAAAAATAAATCAAGTTATGTTTTAAAGAGTATGTTTATGGTTTTCTGGACCAATTTTTTTCTTTGTTTCCCAAAGTCTGTGACCATTACTGTGTAACCTCCCCTCGCCCTTGGGTGCCATAGCAGGACGCCCTCTTCAGGTTGTGGTTGGGGCTTAAGGTCCCTTTTAATCCAGGCCAGCTCAATGCCGGAGATGATTTCATCAAGAACTCGTCTGTAATATTCCATAACCTTTGACTTGGTTGCAGATTATTTTGAATGTTTTTTTTTTAAAGAGAAGATATGACTATAATGATAATAATAAAGATGTTTGTGTTATTATTCATTTACAGCTTGCCAAGAGATTCACTGTGACTGTGGCCCCCAAAAGGGCTTTTCACACTCTACTCAACCCGTAAATACCTTAAAGCTCAAAGTACAATTCGGTTTTGATGCGAATGCTTACACTGTGTCCGAATTTACATACTGTCTAGTACTACATTTGGTTTGAAACTTTACTTTCAACCTTTAAAAAAAGTATGTTCTATATAATATGAATATGGGTAGTAATAAAATCCTGACGTACTACATCCATCACATTGTTACTGTCCCATGACGTACTAGCGCCAGTTGTTGCTTTACTGCCAATCAGTCAGCGATCAACGATCGTGGCCTCATTGGATAGTAAAGTGTCCATTGAGTGCACACTCCAGAATCTCAGCAGAAGTAGTAGATGACCTATTACCCAGTACTTTTCGCCTACTGTTTTTCGAATACTAAGAATTTGGACATAGGCTTACTACTTTTTTGTGTTTTTCACATTCTAGATAGTATAGAAGCAGACATATTCAGACTCGGTATTCATGCGTTCAGCTGAATGCATAGCCTTTGAAAGTCTACTACATTTGATAGTTTGTAGAAAGATTTATTTTCATCCAGAAGTTACTTATGAGCGATAATTTATTTTTATTTGTGTAGAGTTGATTGTATCTCTTAAGCCCCTCAAACAAACATTTGACATCATGGTGTCTACTGGTACCTGTGGTAGTTTGTTGTTTCAAAGACTGTGGACAAACTAATTTATTTTATTTATATTTTTTTAATCGAATTTTTTTTCTGTATTTTTAAATTAACTTATTTTCATGACAGTATATTTACTTTGCTGAACTGAAGCCCCCCCCCCCGAAATGTTACGCCATCAATATTCAATTTTATTTTCTATTTTTCCTGCAATCATACATTATGTGTGCAGTGAAACGTACATTTTCCTTAAGGTGTGCCTTTAACCCCATTGTAACCAATGTTAGGATATAAACACTAACCCAGAATGAAGCATTGTGTGATATAGAATAAACTAACTTAAAATGACATTAACCCAGGGTGCACAATCACACAGGCTTTATTTGAAATGTGAGAAGCCCATAGGACGGTAATATGATCTGTTGTGTCCCTCTAAATAGCATTTACACTTAAGTTGACCCCCCTCTGCACATCTGGTTTTACTTTAAGGAAGTTGACTAGAATGCAAGCAACATTTGTGCACTTTTTGTTTCGAATTAAGAGCTCTATATGATGGAAATTGGAATCGTCTTTTCTCACGTTGGCTTCTTAATATCAGTAGCTATACATGCCTTTTTCAGATTGGACTACTGAGGTTTCCTATGATAATTCTCATTATTATTGTGTTGACTTGATCCGTTCAACAGCAGGACTAACCGTAACCACATACAGTATCTAACCCAGTGTAAGAATCCTAAAATGCTGAGGGATTTTCTCTGGCTTTATCGTTCTTGTTGCCATCTCTGAGAACATTTATGGAAATATTGTAATATTGCCAAAACAATCACAGGCAGCAGTCAGGCGGCTCTCTGCTTCTGCCGAGGTGACCGCTGACTCAAACCACCAACAGTGTACAGTACAAAAGCTTTATGCACGTATCAGCACTGTTCAAACATCTGTGTTGCATAAAGTTTGAATGTATGAAGGAAAGAACAAATGGCTAAAAATGTGAGACGGAAATACCAATACAGAGAGACATTTTTCCCTCCCCCTTCAAGTTCCACAAACATTCCTGGAGCCAAACTTGAGGTTCAGTTCAATAGACAAAGACATGAGAAACTTGCTCTCACTGTATGAAAGCATAACAACCTGTGTACTTAAAATTGGCATGAAATTAAAAT